TAGGTTGTGATTGGAATTTGTCCTGGTTTCGGGCAAAAATTCAAGCTTAAAATTGGATTGTCACGGTGGAATTAGGAGGGGGAAATGGAATGGAATGTACTAAGGGTATCTTAGGGAAGCTCTCTGAGGAGTTTGGAAGGCCTTGGTGAAAATTTTTTACCTCTTACTATTCATGGCCGTGGGGGTAGAATTTATAGAAATTAGCCAAGGGGAGGCTTGGCTGGCCAATTGAGGGGTTAGCCCCACTGCTTAGGTGTTAAGCAGAGGAGCTCTCAGCTCAATTTGGGCTGAGGTGGCTTCTTGGCATGCATTTGGGTATTAACCATGTGGGGGATCACGGTTTTGGGTTTTAGCTTGGGTTAAAGTGGGTAACCAAGAGTTGGATCATGGTTAAAGCTTATAATGAGCAGTAAAAATGGCACCATAGGGTATAGACATGTGGTATGGCAAGTACCTTCATTTAACCATCTCCTTATCCCTTTAAGAAACTTAAAAAAAAATTTACCCATGAGATAAATATCAAGCTTAACCATGGGTTGGTGGCTGGCTTTAAACTCATCCCTAAAGTCTAGGATGAGTTATGGTAATGCTGATTTGACAATACCAAGCTTAATTGATTTGGATTTGGTCATAAGTCCAAGAAGGTGCATATGACCAAATCTTGTGTTTGGACTAGGTTAAACATGTCAATTGGCCCAATTAAATATGGCATTTGGTGTAAGAGACCATGAGGAACAACTTTCATGAAGGGTGAAAGTCATTTTGAGGTCAATTGGTTAATCAATTTGGTGAATTTTTTATTTTTTGACCCATTTTAAGCATGTTGGCTAAGTTTGGGTCAAACTTGGGCTAGCCATGGGCTAAGTCCAAATTGATTGTTATGTTTGGTGTAAAACATCATGATGAACAACTTTCATGAAGGATGAAAATTGTTTTGAAGTTGATTTGGTAGTGAATTTAATGGATTTTGATGAAATTTGGATTTAGACCCAAATTAGGCATATGGGAATAATTTGGGTCAAACTTGAGCTAGCTTTGGACTAAACTCAAATTGATTGTTGTGTTTGGTCACAAATGACCTCATAAAGGATTTCCAACAAAAATTGGATGGCAATTTGAGGTTTAAGACTTTCAATTGTTGAGATTTGGGGTGTTAGCCAATATTGGGGCTAATCTTGGGAATTTTGGATTTAGGTCAAAATCAAATGGATTTGAGGCTTCACCAAGGCCAATTGATGGTTGATTTTGATGTGTAAGAATGTTGTAAAGATTTTGCAATATTAATTGTGACCAATTGGCTAGGTTATGGGTTCAATTGAGTGACATTAAGTTGTATGGTCAAGATTAGGGTTTTGACCCAAATCAAAATTGGGCTCAAATCATAAACCAATTGAGCCTGAATTTGGTTTAGTTTAGTCATATCAAAAGTGAATTTGAGTTTAGGATGGGAACTGGGGTCAATTAAGATCAAATTGATAGACATTTGGGATGGATTTGGGGAATTTTGGGTCTTTAAAGGGCAATTTGGGGATTT